GATTACATTTGGCTGGAGTTTCACACAAAAGAAACAGCCCACTATTTCTCCATGTCACACAGCATGGAAGTTAATTGTGTACTTTCTCTCCCATTATGATTCAATGGATATTATAGATTAAAACAAACTGCAAACTTTATTTACAGGGAACTTTTCAGAGACAGCGTTAAAAACTGTTTTACATGAAAAGATCGGGATAAACTAAATGAGCCAGTTAGTGCACCTAAGTAGTTATATGTGTTTGACTGGATGTCTGTCATTTGCTCTACATATTGTCTCATGAATTCCATTTTGTATTTGTGCGTATGTCAAACATTGCAGGGATGGGCGACATGGCTGTGTCCAACTCCATCGGCAGTAATGTCTTTGATGTGCTGCTGGGCCTGGGCTTCCCCTGGGCGCTGAGGACTATTGTAGTCAGCTATGGATCAGTGGTAACACCTGCTGTTTTCTCTGCCTAATATCTCATACAGCCGACTTGACCCATGACCCTAAAAACACAGTTTTATCTGAGTGGAACTTTCGCCTTTTGAGCCTATAACATAAGTCAGCGTTCCCACGCGTCCTGGAAAACCTAGAAATTTTACAGTCATGGAAAAAACCTGGAAAATGAGAGCCAAAGTAAAATGTCCTGGAAAATCTTATGTTGTTCTGGAAAATTATTTAACAGGCATGCAAACACCTCACCTTTCGCTATTTTGAAACCAAAATGGGTTCCCTATATGATTTGTGCAGATCCGGTAAGATTGTTTTTTTCTGTTAAATAACAAATGAAAAATGCTTTGAGAAAGGTTTATTTGCACTTATTTATTTATTATTAAGCAAAAAGTGACTTTAACATCTTCTTGACACAGTTTTCCATTCTCTCCCAGTGAACATGACAAAGAGGAGGGAAGACTCCTGTGTACTGACTCAGCAGGGATGATATTACATGCGAAAAGCTGATTTATAGGAGAAACATATCTGAAAGCAACACAGAATGCCTTTTTGCATTAGATTCTGTTATAGTTTTACATTTTGAATTGCCAGCTGCTGCCTGACTTTTGCATAAATTAAAAACATTTCCACCATAATTTGGTCACATTTTCTGCATGTTCTACAAAAAAAAAGTACAATAGCAATAGCTCCCCTTGTTTCCTGTCACCTCTTGACTACATGCTGATATATAATGAAAGTGCCGACCAAAAATACCATTTGGATATTTCTGTAAAAGATAGAAGAGTTAGGAGTATACATGAATGCGCTCAGGGGCTGTAATGATGTATATTTCTGCATTTAAGTATAAAACCTCTCCTTGACTAAACTGAATGAACTTTGTAGGACATAAGGCATAAGGTATTTTATATAAAGTGATTTTAAAACATGTTAATGCTTTGTCATCTCTGGTTTCTAGGTGACAATCAACAGCAAAGGCCTGGTGTACTCGGTGATTCTGCTGTTGGCCTCGGTCGTACTTACTGTGAGTAGTTCTGTCTTTTTTAAAGTTAATGAATCTATCTAATTATATAAGTAAATAAAGTCTGCACCAACATCAACCACTCGTTTTCCTTCAACTCTGATTTTCATTTTATCTTCTTCCTGTCGAGGCCTGAGAGCCCTTTTTTAGACTCAGGGAAGTATGTGATAATGTTTAGAGCCGTGCAACAGGAAATGAAAAGCTCCCTCTATTTCTGTCCATGCCTCCCCAGGTCCTGTGTGTCCATCTGAACTCCTGGAGGTTGGACCGTAGGCTGGGACTCACTCTCATTCTGCTTTACGCCATCTTTCTCCTCTGCTCCGTCGGCTTTGAGAGGCTATAGAGGACAAACACACACACACACACACACTCCCCCACGCACATAGTTATACAAAAGGACGCACAAACAAGTGGTCCTACTCCTTTTCCACCTTCACTGCTGCCATTATTAATCAAATGTACAGATAGTTGAATTTTTGTTTCAGTACACGGTGGCTGTACATGTTCGAGCAGCGTTTCTGCAACACAGCTTCCCGAAAGCTGCATTGTTTACCTTTGATAAATGAGAATTTTACATAGTTTTGTACCGGGCACCTCCGATTTTGTGAAATAAAACTGATAATGCACTATGTCTCACAACAATACAAGTATTGCATTTGTTTTCTGAAACCAAGACTATTGTACAAGAAACCCCAAAGTGTGTTCATTTACTTATTAATACTTTACGACTGCCACAAGTAACCTCAATGGCCAGATGATTATACATGTAAGATTATGTAGTTGCTTCTCAGTGCGTGCAGATATTTTATGTCAAGTTTAATGTCATGTTTTAATCACGCCTTGGTGTGTGTAGTTGTGAACAACATAGCATGGCTGATCATCACGCTCCAGATAATTGCACTAAGCCACTGTTGTCCTGGCCTTGTACATGATGTAGCCCCATACCCTCCTACCCTTTTTCCTATAAGCTTCTCAGCACAGTTTATGAGCTGGAACAAAGGCGACTGTATGCTACAAGGTGTTTTTGAACATCTGTGTTTGGAGAGAGTCCTTGAGTGTATGTTGTTGAGTGCAATAATAAAACATTTTGCTCTGTGAGGTTTCTCTGGCTGTCTAATGCTCATCCAAAGCCTCATTATGATCTTCACATGCACTTGAAATGAGTACATGTGGCGAGAATTAGAGCAACATATGAGGAATCAAATGTCTACAAAAAGTGAAAAAGTCTACATTTCAACAATTTTCCAAAAGAGTTCTGTTGAATTATGCAAATGAAGAAGAATGCATTATTTAGCATTGTTCACTGCCAGGAGCAGTTCACCTGCAGGAGCTCAACACAATTACATAATCATTTAAAATATATTTAATATAAACTCCAGACACGTTAATGTGATGCAATCTCATTTTAAGTTATGGCACGATTTCTCTTCATGTCTACCATTGAGTCCTTTAGGCTTTAAGTTTTCACTCTGTCCAATTTGCACAGCAGCTATTTCACTGTTAAACACACCTTTAAAAGGAGTAGAGGAGCTGATCAGTGAGACATGAAAATCTGTTGACTTCCTGGTGTAGGTGGTGCATACTGCCTCGAAGATTGTCGTTCCTCCTGAGATTAAACAGACTTGTTAATAATACAACAGAATCTTCAGATGAACCTTTTGTCCCTGGAAAACATTTTTAGCCTCAGGAAGTCGGTGTAAAGCAGCAAAAAGCTCTGCTATATGGGACACGGGCCCTTAACACAAGATGGGATGAGGTAGAGACCGATGTGCTGTAGTTCAAGTCACATGGATCAGAGAGGCTGTTACCTGCAGCACTTCAACACTTGGACAGCTCCACAGCCTCCAGCAGGCTGGAGAAAGGGAGCTGTCCAAGTGCTGAAGCCGGGACACGCACATCCCTGATGGTCAGCTGAGTTGAGTGGAAGAGGTAGAAAGTCCTGTTGGGGCTCATACTGAATCTTTTGTCTCCTTTGAATGCCAGTTGATCTTCTTCATTGTGTCCCAAATCCATAATACATACTATTTGTATACATTATACCAGAGGTGGAAGAAGTACTCTGATATTTTACTTAGGCAAAAGTAGCAGCAGAGTAGAAGTACTCTGTTACACATAAAAGTCCTAGGCCCTTTGCTACATGTCACCCCCTCTCTCTTTCCCACATTTGCACTAATTTAAGTCAAAAAAAGAAAAGGAAAAGTAAACTTACCCATTATGCAGAATGGCCCAATTCAGAATAATGTACTGTACATTATTTTACTGGATTCTAACTATTGATGCATTAATGTTTCCCCTACTTTAATACAGCTGGTAAAGGTGCAGCTAATTTGAGTTATTTTACACACTCCTGGGTAGCTTGTGAAGTCAATATTTTGTTTTTCTCAGTCACTTTGGTACATTTCTCGAATCAGCCTTAACATCTGTGAAACAGTAAGTGCATTTCTCAAAACAGATGGAATACCAGCAAAAGCCTGTTACTTGCTCACATCAGAATGATAAGTCCTTGTGTCACTATTTACAAACAAGATAGTCAAAATGTTTAGCCCTGTTGTGAACATAACAGTGCACTCGAAGTATTTTCTAATGTAAACTATGGCTAAGGTTTTGATGCCAATGATTGAAAATGCACGAGTCTGCACTTTCTCTGTATGGCACATATCAGTACAGTACAAAGTTATACATTGCAAGAGATTGGACAGGACTCAAAGTCGCGCTTTTACTGTATGTACTGTAATTTGTTGACAGAACATGTCATGGTGATACAAAAAAGAAAAAGACTAGAATGTTTTACAGAAAATACAAAATTACAAATGTAAACATGGGAAACCCATTAAGCTGATGTTCCTGTCTGTCAGTTCCACAAATTCTCATCCACATAACAACAGATATTTTCATCAATTCAGGACACGTTTACAAAAAAAACAAAAAACCCCAATGCAATGAACTTATGCCTACATGTTTTGGGTGGTAAGACTATTCATCAGAGAACCAATTTACCAAAGAGACTGAGAAAAATTAGAATGCAAAGTAACTACACAAATAAATGTAACAGTTACCCTTCCACCATTGCTTTATACAGTATATAATATTCATAGTACACAATTTTTGCTTAGTGTAGAAATAATCTACATGCTTAAATGTTTTGTAGTGACAGGAAATTACACAACATGGACTTCAAAGTACTTTTACAATGCTGTTTGCAAATTAAATTTCACGTCAGGATGTTTTTCCAAAGATTTAATACTTATTTTTTGTTTTGCTAACTTTTTCCAGGGTTGTCTTGCCTCTGTCCACAATTAGTTATTACATTTGAGTAGTTCTTCCATTTCCTTTGAGCATTTTGTTTTTAGTGTGAACAGACAAGATACTTAAGACTTGCTTAAAATGAGTTGGTAGTGTGGACGAACACAAACCGGGCCCCAACTACAGAAACAGCACAGTATCAATATCTGCAGCACAGGCGGCCATCAGCTGATCAAAATATACATCAACTACATTATGGAATTTAAATGATTCAGTATTTAAAGCAGTTACAATGGACACATAATTCAAAGTGATTTTTATTTCAGTCGGGCTAAATCGGCTTTGATACCAAAGAAATGTAAAAATAAAAATAGTACAACAAAGTACATCATTTTACAAATACTCATAATGGAGGTCTGACATATCAGAATAATCAAATAAATTCAAACATGTCACAGTCATAACAAAAATAGAAAAAGTCAATACAGTACATAGAATGCATTAGGAGCTATATACTTGAAGTGTTTGCTATACCATAGACTTTACAAAATTCTACTAGAAAAAACTCCCAGTACCAATGGAATATCAGGTAATATAAAATGTAAAAAAAAAATATAACAAAATAAAAACACTTGTGAAGAGAGTGTGTGCGCATTCATACAGGTGCAATCTGCATGCAAATCTGCCTCAGTGGGACAAATGATAAAAGCAGCTACAGGTTGTGAATGAGTCGCCGGTCTGACAGCAGCCGTTTGAAAACAACTTGTGAAGGATGATGTCGCTGCCAAACGGTTTCTAAAAAGGTAGCACAAAACATCTTTGAGAAAACGATGCACCTTTACGATTACTAGTTTTCCGTGTTCGCGTGTCAGCTTCTCTGATAAAACAGCATTATCTGAGTCAGGTTTTTCAAAATAAAGATAAATTTAGACCTGTTTGATTGAGAAATAATGCTGAAGACTGATATTTTACTATATGTTTTTGTATCATGAGCCAACTATAGTGTTTGGTTAAAGTAACCTATCTGCCTAGTAACCTAGAATCCTAGAATCAGCAATGAAAAGTTGGTTTTGGTGCAACCTCAAAGTAGAAAAGCCAAAGATTTTGTGCTAACAGCTTAATGAGTCAAATTCTTGTTATTGGCAAAAAAATTACAACTTTGTTTTATAATCTCTGTACTACTAATTTAAAATGGTTTACATGATTTTGATAAGCTCCATGGGTGATTGTTGTGTGTATTTCATATGATGGTGGACCTTGGCACAGACCGGCTCCCCCTCAAGGGAAACCTCTTCAAAAGATTAAGATGGATCAGACAAAGTACACAGACAAATGCCACTACAAAAGTCCACTAGTAACCAGAACAATAACAATAGTAATAATAATAATAATAATCCTCAGCCATATACGTTGGGATTTTTTCTTTCTCCCACATTCAGGGAGAAAAAATAGATAATTTGGCAGAAAAGAAACTGTGTTGTCTCGACAGTCCGCACTGTGTCTGAGTGTGAAAGGGTGGAGAAAATTAGCTTTGATCCTAATCCGTTTGCTCCTGGGAGCTCCCATGGAGACAGCAGTTACAATGGTTACTGCATGCTCTCTGTCTCTGTATCTAGTGTGTGTAACAGTCCAGGAGAGAGTGTATGTGTGTGTGTGTGTGTGTGTGTGTGTGTGTGTGTGTCTATACTGTATATGTATGTGTTTGACGGCGAGCCTCGGGGGCTTTGCAGGCAGGTTGGTAGTGATAGTTTGATCCCCATGTTGACTGATCCCCCCACTGACGCTGTAGATATTAAGACTTCAAAAGCTGATCTGCGATCTGGCTCAGCTACATCTGGACAGAGCCCGGAGCTCTGGACTGGGAGGAGGTCTGACGTTTTCCATCAGGGGTGGGGTCCTGTGACTGCTGGGGCGGGACTTGCTGCTATGGTGTCACTCAGGGGTGGAGCTCTGGTTCTGCTGGTATATGGAGGCTTTATCCTTCAGCAGAGCCAGGCACAGGTGACAGCTCCAGCTCCCTGGAAAACAGATAAACACGGTGAGGCAGGGCTCGAGGGTGTAGAAATACATCGTTGGCTAGTCGAGATGAATCGATAATGAAAGTAATCGTTGGTTGAGGCACTGGTCAACTCAGTGCAGGTCTGAGGGAAGAGGTCACAGCAGATTTTCAGAAGTGTCAATTCTCTTTGGGCGCTGGCCCGAATACCATTTTGAGCTTAGAAGCTTCGATGGTAAATATTGAAAAAGTCACGTTACGGAGATCGTTTAGACGTCTGTTGATAAGCAGGCTGTCATTTCACGAGCAGTAGAACAGCAGAAGAAGGATGAATGCCCAGAAGTTCTGCAAAGGACATGAGTGAGGGAGAATCCAATGGGGGAGAGATAACAGCGGTCATGAGTGTGAGTGTGAGTGAGTTTCTTTATTCTCATAGCGTGGGCTAACTAAAACAGCAAGATATTATTGCCAATTTGTTTTTAACTTTGTTATGGCTAGGCTAGCAGACCCAAGTGCAGGACTAAGAGAGGAAGGAGACTGGAGTTAAATTAAAGAGGAACATTTATTACAGGGTTTGGATATTGAGCCAGGGAAGAGCGAGGCAAACTTTAAAATGTAGGCTATTTAACTGTTTTGATCTGTAATGAATGTGAACTTTAATGTGAACTGCGTTACGTTCACTGCTGTGAGAGGAGGTCAGGGGTCTGCATGCAAAAAACCCTGAACATTAGAATCCCAAAATTGAAAATCGAATACCTATCCAACAAGCAAATATTCAAATATTTGGGTCCAGCCCTAGCCCTCTTAGCTCTGTTCCTGGTCTCTACCAACTCCTGAGACAAATATCTGTTTAAGCTACTAAATGCTCTGCTATGTTCAGCAGCTAGTCACTGTGTCTGTCTGTTGTTTGGTGCTGAGCAGGTAGTGTGCAGTGGGTATTTAGCAGATATATATCGGCGCTAGAAGAGCGATGACAGTGAACTAGAACAGGTGTGGGCCAGACAGCTAAACAATGCGCTAAAACTCGCTGTACAGCAGAGGAGAACTGCAGATTCAGGTGATAATTCTTTGTATGTTCATCACTATAAGTGAACCCTTTCACAATGTCAACTATCAACTATGAACACAACTTAACTGTGAATTCTGTTCTGTAAACGTAATCAAAGCTAATCTGTTTATGCTGTCTTGGTCACCATCCAAAGAAAAAACAGCTTTTCTATTAGTGTTCTGAAGTGCATTACAAATCAGGGTAATTAGGGGTCCAGTACCGCGAAGCGGCTGGGAACCCTATTGTAATCGTTCTCGTTTTTATTATTAGGGGTCCAAGCCCGAGTGGGCTGGGAACCCGTGAATGCAAGGCATCGCGATTCCCAGTACCCTATTGTTTTCGCTCGGGTTTTTATTTATTTATTTTTTATTCTTCCGTACATTTTCGCCTAATTCCACTACTGCAGCCTAGACGGTAAGTGCGAGGGACGCGCAACTCACAGGGTAGGTTCAGGCCCATGAGACGACGGCATGCGAAATAATTTGCTCACTTTGACCGCTAGGTGGCACTACAAGCAAGGTCCAAAGTTTGGCACATTCAAATCGCTGTAACTCCCACATACAGTGGCGGATATCAAAAACCTTATATCCACGTGTTCGGGGGATCGAGCTGAATCTCGTGGTACAGGCCACACCCATTTCCGCCTAGACTATTTTTTCGCGAAAACTGAAAAACCTATTTTAATTAACTCCTCTGAAGCCGCAAGTCAGATTGACACCAAGCGTGGCACGGATAATCTCTGGACCAAGCTGATGAAAGTTTGTAGAGGAAATTTTGATCCCCCTGAGGGCCTGTGCAAAATTTGGTGCAACTCGCCCCTAGGGGGCGCTATTTAATCCAAGAAAATTGTTCCACTATAACCACAAGTCACACTGACATGAAACCTAAGCCAAATTCTTCTGCATGGTCCCCTTACTACAGGCACCAAACTTCACCCAATGCCCATAGGTGGCGCTGTTATTGCAGATTAAAGACGTTATACATAACCACAAGTCCGATTGACACCAAATTTGGGTCAATTGTTCCCCATGGGCCCCTGATAACGCCTGAATTTGGTGTAATTCGGCCAAAAGGTGGCGCTATAATCAAAGCTCAAATGTGCTCGGACAATCCCATTCATTTCAATGGGATTTTCAAACAAAGGACATTTTGCCTCATAACTACGCGCCACTACACTGCACATTCATAAACCTTATGTCTACATGTTTCAGGGATGCTGCCAATTCTTATGATATAGGACACGCCTCTGTGCGATGACGTTTTCATTTCGCTACATCGCGAAAACTGGAAAACCTATTTTAATTCAATCAGCACGAACTGTGGCACGGACCATCTCTGGACCGAGTAGAGGGAATTTTGATCTGACAAAAAATTTCCCAATTGCAAGCTAACAAATATTTGCGAAAACGCTAAAAACAGCAAGTATAACATATCTCAGGCTTGGAAAGGCCGATCAACACAAAACTTGACCTTATGTGGCATGCCCCCCTGAGGGGCTGTGCAAAATTTAGTACAGTTAGCCCCTTGTTGGCGCTATTCAAAAAAATCCCATAGACGTACATGCATTTTACATCTCCACAACTCCGACTGATACCAAATTTGGGGCAATTGTTCCCCATGGGGCCTTGATCACACATGACAATTTTGGTGGACCTTATGCAGTAAACCAGCGGCGCGCCGGGCCCGACTTGCTCACCCTCCGCGGGGCCAGGGGGGGGCGGCTTGCGCCGGGAGGCTTGGACCCCGCTTATAACTGCTTGCAGTTCTAGTTAATCTTACTTTTACCAAAAGCTAGGATATTTTTTTAATTCACAACCCTAATTAACAAGGAATTAAGGCTTCTATTTGACATTGTAGCTTGGAAAACTACCAATGTGCGGCAGGCCTCTTAAGAATGCATTTGTGAGGAAGAGAGCACACAGTCCTGTGAAGATATCTGAGAACTCTCAGGGTATAAGGCAACAGATCAGACCAGATGGATTGTAGGTGCCCTGCTGGTGACCGTGGATATCTTGGATGAGGGTGACCTTCATGCCTTTAACCCAGTACAAAGGGATGATATCAGGGGATATCTGTTAACTTTGTCTGCCAAATGACAAAATGTAAACCTCTGCAGTGAAGTGTTCGGCGTCAGCTTACCCTCTGGTGGTTCGGTCATGGGGGGACTTAGACAGTACATGTGGTAGCCTCGGTCGCAGTCATCACAGAACAGCAGCTGGTCCTACAGAACACATCATGTTCAGTCTACTGATTAGAGCACCAAGAGAAAATTCAACAAGCAGAGAAAGTGAGACAGTTCACTCTCTTTCTCCTCCCTTTCTGTCCATTTCAGCCTTTTGCCCACACTAAGTCTACATGTCATTTTACACACAAAAAAAACTTTATTTTAACTGGGCTCGACAATGTCTTTAGCAGAGGCCTGTCCCCAGCAAGATTTTTTTGGGAAACACAGAGACCACTTCTGACACATATGATGGAAATATAAAAAAAGGCTCACATCATTCTCTGAGGTGCCGCAAACGTTGCAGCATTTGCACTCAATGCACTGCCAGCGATAGGTCTTCACTGCAGCCATCATGACTGGTGTGAACTGCAGGCATGTTGGGTGGCCTGCAGGAAGGAGAGGACATAAAAATAACCATGAACCGTGCACTAGTTATGACCACCTAGTTGCTTGATGAGTTGACATGATTAGGGCTCAACTGACTGTTAACTAAAACCCCTTTTCTGAAGAGCCATCGGGTAATTGTAGTTTGACAACTGTGAAAAGGCGCAGCTGGGCTGTCAAGCTTTTAATTTTTTCCCATGATGATGAGCTGTGCATGGGGCTGTAGTGAGTGGTAATCAGTATTTCAAATATATGGTGCGTGGTGTCTTTTCTTCTAGTGTTTCAAAGACCAAAAAGACAAAAGTGTAAGTGTCTGTAAGGATTAGGCTGGGAACTGGAAGGTCGCCAGTTCAAGTCCAGCTCAGACCAGAGTTGTGAAGCGTGGACTGGTAGCTGGCGAGGTGCCAGTTCACCTCCTGGGCACTGCTGAAGGTGGCCTCGAGCAAGCCCCTGAACCCCCAATTGCTCGGGGCGCCGCACTGAGTGGCAGCCCCGTCACTCTGACATCTCTCCGTGTGATGTTGCTACGCATGTGTGTGTATTTCAGACCTGTGTGTGTATACTAATAACAATAATAACACCAGAGTGAGAACATTGAATTTCCCTTGTGGGATTAATAAAGTATGTCGTCTTCTTCTTCTTCTTAACATACGATGCAACATTAGCGTTACTTACAGCAGTAATCGAACATTACTCACAAGAAATGAGCCAAATATTTACATTCGTTTGTGGGGTTGCAGATTACTTTAATCAAAGTCACGACTAGCATATCCACAGTAGGGCCGGAACGATGTGAGATTTTTAAGAGCGATACCGATTTTGATATTTGAGGATTTTAAAATCTGATAACATAAACTAAGATTATCCATTTGTCATGTGTAGTTACGAGACCTCACCAAGACAACATGACATAGTGTAGTTAATTTTTTTACAGTACAGCTGACTGCTGTGCTCTGTGGTGTTTCTGTGGCGTATCAAACACGCAGAGTGCCCTCAACACTCACACGATCCGCCTCTCTCTCGTCTCTTTCTTTTTTAATTGTCATTTATCGACACCGATTTATCTGCAAGTAGCTCATCTCGGCCAATAATATCGGCACGCTGATTTATCGGTCCAGCTCTAATCCACTGTGTGTTTCCTGACACAGCGTTATGTTTGTTGAACACAACGTTAATCCTCATCCTAAAAGATTTTTATCTTCAATCCATGTCTTCTACATGGATCATAAACTGGTGAGGACGCTGACTCTTTTGATATTGCTGGTATGAAATGACAAGGCTGCTTTTGTCTACCTCTGTTTCTAAAATATAGAACCCTTTAATTACAATGAATTTCAATGATAAAAATGGACACTGTTAACCCTGTAAACTGCATATGTGCCATCTGAGATAGAAAGCTCTACAGGCATAGCAAATGTAACTAAGGTGGGGCGGAGCTTACATGAACATGACGAGTTCATACTGAGCGTCCACGTCTGAGCAGGACACCAGCTCTTCTGATTGGCCGGTCTTCTGGTTTAAGGTGGAGTCTCCCAGACAGAAGTCACAGTAATCGTTAGGCAGTGCCAGCCCATTGGGACCTTCTAGTTGCTAAGTGGGAGAATGAGTGAAGAAAACCATTCAGTGCACATTAGATCTGTCACTTTAACCTGAGTATTGAGGAAGATGAGTCAAATATCTTCTTCAGATGAACATGTCAAAACTGTCATTGTTTGTCTAAGTGTATAATACTGTTTATAAATCAAATATTTTCAACTCTGAAGCACAGTGTTACAAACCTGTTCATGCCACAGCAGCCAAATCAATTTTTACCTGGTAATGGCTGATGATGTATTGAATCATGATCCAAACTAATGAATGAGTGACAACTGACAAAACGCACTTGTTGAATGTTTTGGCTAACACGGTGTCGCGTGCACAAAAGAAAATAGCAATGCGATGCATATGAGGGGGGGGGGGGGGGGGGGGGGAGATGGATGATATGCTGAAAAAAATGCCAGGAATCCCAACTGTGCAAGCATGTTTCAGTCAGGAACACTCAGAATAATCCCAAATTCGGGATTCAAAATGATCATGAAAATCAAAAAAATAAAGGAGCGGAACAAAAAAAAAAAAACCAAAAATAATAATGAGAGAGAGACTTCCCTTTTACAACACATACATGCTAAATGGCATGCAACCACACCTCCCTCCCCTCTCTCTCTCTGTCTCTCTCTCAGCACTAGAGAGTGACTCACTCTTCTGCTCTTCAGGCTGGCGAGGAGTGGGTGGTGCCTCGATCTCCTCGCGGTCTCGCCCTCCTCCTCGGCCAGGTGAGAGTGTGTATAGTGGTAGCTCAGGCCAGGGCGGTTCTTGTAGCGCTTCCCCAGACTGACACACACACACGGTCACAGAAAATGTTATAGTGATGGCGGCTCATTCTTATTACCGTGCAAAAAATCCCAAGATGGAACCACAAAAGTGCGCTGTTGTACGCAATCACCCGACAACCGGCTTCATTTAAAAAAAATGTTATTTGCACAAGGTTCATTTTTGGTTGACGCGCTAGTAGCAAACTCATTCACTGGAAGTGAGCTTTTGCACAGTGAGCTATGGCAGCAGAAATTACAGAGCCACACGAAGCGGCAAAAATAAAAATAAAAAACGCATTCAGGCGGGCAACTTTACCAATTTCTATGATGTAAAACTTAAGTTCCAGATGGGGTCTTTCAGATCACACCATGCATGGCAGAAGGGTTGTTTTTGTCTTTCAGGAGAAAAAGCAAAAGTCCCTCTTGCTGACATGCATGACACACGGACGTTGCAAGGAACTTCCACTTACTGTCGCAAGCATATGCTTGTCCCTCTCCTCCAGCGCTGCAGCTGCAGCCTCCTGTTTTT